GAGCTGGCTGGGAAAACGTCTATTGATCCAATTAAAAAACAAACAGTGTCTGCGTTTGATTATATACAGTCAATTCTGAACCGCGCGGAGGGATGATTCATGCCTCTTTCTGTGGATCATTCGTTGGTGGTCTTGGTCTGCACTTGGCACGTACGTTGCCTCTTCTTCCGCGTGCCANATTGTCTTTCGGGCTGTAATTATCGATTCACTCGTTCCGGGTGGCAGTCAACATTGTCTCGCGAGGCACTTCCAGCCGCTGCGTCTGTGCGTCTGGTCGGATGAGCCCCATTCTTGCTTCGGTCGCTAGCCAGGACTCTCTTTGAACTGCCTTCCATCACACTATGACACTGAGTTCAGTTGTAGAATAAAGGATTCCCCCGCAGCAAAACTGCGCATTGTGTTCATCTTTACGCCACTTTTGTGCTTTAAAACTCAAAGATAAACAGCCGGTTTCCGCAGTCTGTTTTCTTTCGTACTTATTTATCTATTCGTGGGGGATAAGGTAAGGGGTGTAGACCGCAAGAGCAGACGTGTATCTGAACGAGTCTGTGAGCACCACAAGGTCGGGTTGAATAGTGTAGTAATTAAGACTGTCAACAGCTGGATCGTTTCACACCTAGTGGAATCAAACCAAGGGGTTAAAGCGACCGAGGCGTTTCGACCCCTTCACTTAGTTCTCAACCTTCGCTCTCAGGGGACTAGGAGTCGCATTCTGGTCACAGCGGAATCCGCTTACGTAATCTCCCCCCCTCTATGTTCCCGAAAACAAGTCGCGACAACACTCGGCCTTCCATGACCAACATCACACAAAACATAGTTATCCCCCACACACTCCTAGTGACCTGAACCAATGCGCATGTGTGACGATTAAAGAGTGTGAGCAACATTCGGTCATGGAACTGGAATGTTATTCATTTCTCTTTCATTTTGTCATGACTTCCTCCTACTAAGCAGTTCGATGTAAATAGTGAAGTATTAGACTGTAGAAGAGTCCCCACAAACGAGCTTATTCACTACTCTGTACTTTTCCCACAACATGTAATGATGGCATATAGATTCCGTAAACATTTTTATCTAAATGTATTTTTACTTCCTTAACTTATTTATTGAATATACAAATGAACATCTTTAATAATTCGAATATCTCGCGTGTGAGTTGGCTCCAACAAAGTGACTGCATTCGATCGAAATTCCCTCCATTGATTATCGCGCCTCAGTCTGAGTAAGACTTTACGGTGTGCAATCCTCGGGCAAATGGGGCAGTATTATTTCACTATTTGTGGTTCAAGCTCCTGCGCAACCAGAAACGGAATTTTTCACTTGATTCTATTTCAAATAGGGCATAATAAAATGGAGAACAAACATGCCCAGTACACTCAAACTTTTGTTGTTTTCTTTAACCATCTCAAATGCAACTAACTAGATATGGACCTGACGAACAGCTTCGAGATAAAGGTTCGCACTGAGCACGTAAGCATGTGATTGCGTACTGGCTGGAATGAACAGTACTTTGTTGTGCCGATACGGCATACCCGATCGTGGTTGTACAAACATACAAATACACACAAACATACACGCCTGTACGCTTTGGCAGAAGAATGCTGTCAACTGGAGAGGTCCACCAATAAGCGTGTGGAATTATATTGCAATGCTTCTGATTAAAGAATTGATTCATGTGTGTGTGCCTCCTTGTGTGTGTGTGTGTGTAGAGACGCATCTAGAAGCACGTTAAAATTGTCCATACTCAACACTGCGGTGTATACAAATAACCGATTGTGACGGGTAATATCTCAGATTCTTGTCAATCACACTCCAGACGTGGACAATATTATCTGTGTCAGTCAATCCGGTGGCGTGTTCTCACTACGCTAATCGATCGGGTTCGTGGGTGAAAATGTTCGCAATCGGCACACTGATCGTTTGGTATTTGACATGCTCTGTGCAAGCATCCGATCCGGCCGCCGCTACGACCCCGGAGAATCATACTAATTCGGGAATTGTGGCAGCCGCGTGGCACTTTCACGAATTCTCCGTCCATATCACCATCATGGCTTTCCTGATGTGTATGATACTGCTTAAAGTGTTGTTTCATCGTCTGCCTCACGTGTCTCACTACATTCCCGAATCCCTGTTGCTCATCATACTGGGTTTGGCTTTCGGTGCAATTGTTCGTTCGGAAGTTCGTGAAGGGGATAATTCGCCCTCATCGTGGAAACTGACACCGGAACTGTTCTTTCTCTATCTACTCCCCCCGATTGTATTGGAGGCTTCCTACTCCCTGTACAATCGTACATTCAGTGAATATTTGGGCATAATTCTCCTGTTTGCCGTGTTGGGAACCATACTGAATTTCCTTATTATCGGTTTTGCAATGTATGGGCTATACCGAGTTGGCGCGTTTGGTGGACCAGTGATTGATTTTGATTTGAAAGGCATGCTATTATTCAGTTCATTAATTGTAGCTGTGGATCCGGTTGCTGTGTTGGCCATATTTCAAGAAATTGGTGTTGAACTCAGTCTGTACTATGTGGTGTTCGGTGAGTCATTGTTGAATGACGCAATCACTGTCGTGTTGTACCACATCATGTCGGCATTTGTCGGACAGGATTATGTGAGTGGACGCGATATCGGAGTCGGTGTGACCTCGTTTATCACTGTGAGTTTTGGCGGTTTGTTGATCGGTGTACTAATTGGCGTACTGTCCTGTCTTCTAACCCGGATCCGAAGTCATTTGGGTGCATTTATTCTCATTCTGATGGCCTATTTTTCCTACATCATTACCGATTGTGTTGGCTGGTCCGGTATCATCGCCATGATCGGTTGCGGTCTGATACAGGCCGCCTATGCATTTCACAATCTGGATCGAAAATCGATCATTCTAATGCATCATTTGACCAAAGTGGTTGCCGAAGTGTGTGAATCGGTCATATTTCTGTTTCTCGGCGTCGCAATGCTCTCGGAAAATCTTGTCTGGCATACGGGATTTATGCTTTGGGCCCTTGTGCTTTGTTTGTTTGCTCGAACGATAGTCGTGTTTGGCATGACCGCAATCATCAATCTGGTGAAAGTGGACGGAACAAAGCTCAGCATAAGAAAACAACTGGTGCTTATCTACGGTGGGCTTCGTGGAGCGGTGGCATTTTCCTTGGCCGTGCTGATTTCACCGGATCGGCTGGGTGATTCGGGTGATTACAATCGTCAAATGATTATCACAGCCNAGCCGCTCTGTTCATTACCATGTTCACTGTTGGTGTGATGGGTGTGACCATGAAACCGTTGGTCCGATTGCTACATATCACACTTCAACCGCCGAAAAAATTGAGCTTATTCACCGTACTGAACAACAGCGTGATTGATGACACAATGGCCGGGATCGAGTTTATTCTGGGCTATACCGGTCGGAATCGACTGCGTGCTTTTCTGATGCGCATTGACGAGAAATATGTGCGTCGAATTTTGCAAAACGATCCGGAAACGTATGATCAGAAACTGCTGAAAACGTACGGTGAGCTAGCCCTTAAGCTACATTTTGCCGCTTTGCAGCCGAAGCATTGTGATAAGATTCTTAGTGAGGTTCCGGAGGCCTTGAAACGACAATTCTTCCTTGGTTCTAATGCCATGATGAATTCTACAGCTAGACTTGAGGATGCGCCACAGGAATTGGGAGATGCCAAACAGTTGGATGAATGTCTGCGAATGCAACGTCTGACTCAACTGGATAAAGACGGAAGACGTCAGTTGGACTTTCGCGAGCAGTTCAGGCGATCAGCTGCAATGCGTACTCGAGGAATGACCGGACCGACTTCGTCCGAGAGCCAATCGACCATGCTTTCGATGATGAATGATTTACAGCCAAGATTGAGTGGTGGTCAAGTTTCATTCGAGGTCCTCGGATACGAAGTGAATGAAGATGAGGATGACGATGTAAAAGTTCAGTATTGATGATGAGTTACTGATACCTCATCTCCCCCTCCTTTTGTTTCTCTCCACCACTATCAGCATGATACCGAATTGTAAAGTCAAAAACCGTCCCATTATTAACGTTGACAAGTCTTGTCACTTGTAAATAAACGTGTGATCACTGTTTCCCAATTCTCCCGCAAAACGCGTGAATTGATGGAACGTCCACTGAAGAAGAGAGTAACAACGAAGACGTATCCAAACTGATAAAAGTGGTTCGAATGATGATAATGATGAAACCGAGTAGATTAAACCGATTTATCAAAAAGTAAAACGCCTTAATTCAACTTGAATGTTTTGTTCATTCACAAGATGTTGCGGTTTTCTCGCCCGGAAACGGACACATTGAAGTAGATGATCTATAGAAACACTCGTGAGGATTTTTACTCTCGTATATTTTACCAATGAACGATAATAATTATGGTGATTTCAATCAAAAATCAATGGTGGACTAAAGAAACGAAATGGATTAAATGCTTTGGCAGTTCAAGCAAATCAAGTCAAATGAGGTTCGGAGGTAGCTTTTCGCCCAAGCGCAGGTGGAGGATCATTAAGCCTGTTACATCACATTCAAGGCATGTTGTATTTGCCGAGTCGGGCAAGATAATTTACTAGAACGAAACATTTGAGATAGAAGTTTGTCTCCGCAACAAGCAGGTAAGTGAAATATAGTGGAATAAAGCTATGATCTGCCGCAATACAAGTGTATTAACATTTACTTTTTGAGGGTGAAGATGATGCTTTTCAGATTTCTCCTGGTATTACATAGTGAGTGTTCCAGTGTGTTTTAGAAATAAACTTTTCACATACATCTAAGAGTTTGTAAATTATGGTATTTAGCGATATGTGCTAAGGATGATAGTAGCTAATGAAAGTACTTTCTGAAAAGGTCGACAAAAATAACGTGAGGGCGGTACAACGCAGGAGAGAGTACGTATACATGTGCATATTTAAAAATCGTCTAATGAGAAATGGGAAATGCGGCAATTTTCTGGAGTTACAAACTATCATTTGGTCTTGCATTGATCGTGATAAGTTTTGTGAAAGCAAGATAGCTTATTCAGACTAACAAACTTGGATTAGCCCATTCGACTGTCTAGTGGAACCGGACACTCTTGATGGTCTTAGGTGTGAGTTTCACTCCTTGGGAGATCGTCAATTCCGCACTAGGTGAAGCATTCGAATACGATGGAAATGTTTGTGATAACCGACAAAGAGCACTTATCATTACTGAAATCGATGTGGGTTCGTGATCAGCAGAAACGAAGGGGGCGGGGGGGTGAGGGAAAATCTATTTGTGAAGAGGAATCAGTGTGGTTCATGAACTATCGGCAAGGAAACACAATACTCTGACCCGATTTGCTTTCAAAATAGACACAAATAATAGAGCGGCAATCCTTGATTCGACCTACAGCACCATTTTATTATTGCAACCACCTTTAAATTCTGGTCNGGGGTGGGGGTGGGGGCAAAATATGTGAATTTCTTGTTTATTGACTTGTTTATTGTGCTTGCTCAACGGTTTGATTGAGATTGAGAACGAATTGTGATGGGAGTGAGGGAAGGAAGGTAAACAAATTTTAAGCTTGATACCTTAAATTCCAAAGATTGTTTATGATCTCGTTCACATGTATGTTTGGCGTTCGAGGGAACTATCACATTCTGCTCCTGTAAGTAGTCATGTGTGTGTGTGTGTGTGTGTGCGCGCGCACAGTTTTGGTGACGGTAAAAGAGCGGGAAATAGTGTAAATATGTCATTTGCAAAGCCGTAATTGCACCGGCAAAACCTGTTGTTTATTTATTGAAGTATTCTTTTGCCTCGTAAGCATCTAATGTACACTTGCCCGGAGTTCGGTTTTACTTACTATTGAATATATATATATATATGCATATATATATATATATAATAAGCTGAGTGACAAGCCTGTGAGAGCAGTTGCAAGTAACTATTGTGAATATTTAAAGTTAATCCAGATGGCAATTGTGGGTGATATTTTGAAGCCTGGTTTGAACTATAACTTGGATTTCAGTCAATTTTTGTGGTTTGACAAGTGTGCTACACAAATTTAAAGACACCTAACAATGTCATTTTCGTGAATCAATCTGAATGAGTATATCCATATCGATCGTCATCCTGTGCGTGTCTGAAGAATGCATTTAGCATGCATTCCAATTCGCGAAAACCAGGCACAAAATTTGGCAATCCCTAATTTGAATGTCGTTATAACGTGTCCCAGTGAAATAAAGGTGAAAGTGATCTTGCGCATGTATGTTTTTGATGTTTTTCTCATTCTTGGTTTGGAACCACCATTCGTTCATCTGGGTGTATTTCGTGAGTTACCTAGCTGCCTTGACAGTCGGAAGACAACTCACACACTGTGCTTAGCCGTGACTTCATGGTTGTTACTCGGTAAGATCGGGGAATAGAACAGCGGATAGAATAAAAACAAACAAACAAAGCACTGATTGTCACAGAGCATTCAGTCGGATAGCTGTATTGGCAAGTAGCAAATCACAGCTTATAGTGAACACCGACCACCGTCTATTACCAGACAGTTAATTGGTGACCCGGTAGTAACGTCGCCTAATTATCACCCCGGGGGGATGCGTGTTCGAATCCCACCACTACCACTGCCTGACTTTCTCCACTTGTGTGTGTGTTGAATGACAGCCCTTTGACTGATCGCATCCCCTTTCCTGAAAATTGTATCTTTGTTTATTCAATTTATTTTTATTTTTTATTATTTTATTTATTTATTTATTTTTTATTTATTTTATTTATTCATGAAGAAAAAGGAAAGGTTTAATTCTCTCTTATCAAACTTTTACGAGGCAAGAATCGAACTCGATCAAATCAACTCAACAGTGTTTACCCTTAGACTTATCCTGCAGTGTTTTGTGAATGAAGCCCATGGTATAGCGTATAGTATAGCGTCTGATTAACAAGTTTTCCCAGCCGTGAAGACTAGACACCGGGATAAATCAAATTTGTATTTTACAAGGAAGAAACTGTATAAGTTGGTGTATTATCTGTTCCATATTTTCTTTCCGTGATTCTGGCTTTCAACCGTGTTTCATCTTCTCTTCTGAAAAGAACTACATCCAGAAAGGTCAATATGTTGTCCGCTTTCATCTCTCTATGATAGAGTTCAGTAAGTGATGTACTTTGTTCCATATTTACAGTGTTCGTGGGATGTCACTTTCTCGAGCGGTCAAACGGAAGATTTCATTCACATCACAACTGTAGTGTGCCTGTCTCACTAAAGTGTACTTCAATGTGCTCGTTTCTATGGTCTAGCCACAACAATATCAATTAGCAGTAGACCGAATAGTGGGACTGTCTATCGGATGATAGATTACCATATCACTAAATAGAAATTGGACGTTATGTGGGAGGCGTAGTAGCAACCTACTTGGGTTTGTGATCGGATTGTCAAAAGTTACATTAAGCATCTCTGATTGGTCCCTGACGAATTCCACTGCGCGCATCAGGGATACATTGGTAAAAAGTAAAACGAAATCTAAAAAAAGATTGTCTTTTCTTAAAAAGCAAGGAATGGAAGTGTCTATTTACATCCTTGTATAATTTATTGAATAAAAAAATGTACAGTCAATATTCGGGAAGAGGCCGCGGTCATACAAAGACTACCTGGGAAGACGGACGGCGGTGGAGCAGTTCGAAACCGGAACTTCCAGGTCACAAGTTGGTGACCTAATCACTTGGTCATCACCGTCTGGCATATTCGCCATAAACTGGAGCGGCCACGACGGACGGGTTTTGTGCAATCGCGTAATATGGCCAATTCACAATCTCCATAATTGGTCGAATTGGAACTCACTTTTGTCAACCTTAGATAAACCGTACAGTCGAGCGGATAGTGGACCGACATGCGAGCTCGACTGTTGTATCACTCCTGTACGTCGTTATGTTTATTGCATTCAGTAGATCTGTGATTTCGCCCTCCATTTTTTTTCTATTTCCTTTCTTTCCTCTTCTGTATTTCGAGAACTCTGTTTCGTCCAGAATGACTTCATAAAGCTTGCAAACACTATCTGTTACGTGTTAGTATATAATCGCTTTGATCACGACGACCACTCCAGTGCTCTTACCGGATAAACGTAGACTTTCGGTGTTTGAAGACCGCTGTCTACGCAGCATTGCACGAATCTGGTGGGGCAGCCGAAAGAGCAATACTGAGATTAGGCGCAGGGTTTTAGGCAACCGTGGTCACCCACTGGAACAAATGGTCAACCTCCACAGATTGCGTTGGTTGGGGCATGTGTTACGTATGTTACCAGATAGGTTTCCACGGCGAACGATGTTTACCGAGGCCGGTTGGCGGTTAGAACAACGGTCAAGGGCGATCAAAGGAAGACCTGGCTGGGGACCTCGGGATGATCGCAATCGACGGTTGGAGTCACTGAGTGATATGGCTTNGTCTTAAACAGCGGCGTTCGTGCCTTTTGTCAATTTCTCCTCATCGTTAATCCACTGGACTTCTCAATTTTCTCTTCCATCTTACTTTCAACCTGCCTGTCTTTCTCCAAATGTTCATCCAAATGGGCAGTCAAAAGAGAGCAACCAAAAAAGAGACACACGGAAATGGTTGTTCATGGTTGTGTCAAACTGACACTGAGATCTCACTTGTTTACCGACTACAAGCAATACGGGTATCTTTGTTCTTTCTGATTTCCCATCCAAGAAGATTTAATCTGCCAGTTATTCACTCAGTCGATTCCCGTTTATTTCGGAATTGACCCACATTGCCACGCACGAAGTTGGTTTCCAGTATCATACCTGTGAGTAAAGAGCATTTATTCGAAAATTTTCCGCCCTTTGTTTACGAGTAGACGAGTAAGACACGGTATGGGTGAATTGCGGTAAGCATCGATTCGAGATGAAATTTGACGGAACTGGGAGCGTGCTGAATGATGGGAACGACGTGTTCGTCCTTTCTACAATAATGGATGGTCAGGATCTG